ACTGATATACACCTGAACATCAGCAGGAGAGGACTCTTTAAAGTAGACACACTACATACTGATATACACCTGAACATCAGCAGGAGAGGACTCTTTAAAGTAGAGACACATACTGATATACACCTGAACATCAGCAGGAGAGGACTCTTTAAAGTAGAGACACTACATACTGCTATACACCTGAACATCAGCAGGAGAGGACTCTTTAAAGTAGAGACACTACGCACTGATATACACCTGAACATCAGCAGGAGAGGACTCTTTAAAGTAGAGACACTACATACTGATATACATCTGAACATCAGCAGGAGAGCACTCTTTAAAGTAGAGACACTACATACTGATATACACCTGAACATCAGCAGGAGAGGACTCTTTAAAGTAGAGACAATACATACTGATATACACCTGAACATCAGCAGGAGAGGACTCTTTAAAGTAGAGACACTACATACTGATATACACCTGAACATCAGCAGGAGAGGACTCTTTAAAGTAGAGACACTACATACTGATATACACCTGAACATCAGCAGGAGAGGACTCTTTAAAGTAGAGACACATACTGATATACACCTGAACATCAGCAGGAGAGGACTCTTTAAAGTAGAGACACTACATACTGCTATACACCTGAACATCAGCAGGAGAGGACTCTTTAAAGTAGAGACACTACGCACTGATATACACCTGAACATCAGCAGGAGAGGACTCTTTAAAGTAGAGACACTACATACTGATATACATCTGAACATCAGCAGGAGAGCACTCTTTAAAGTAGAGACACTACATACTGATATACACCTGAACATCAGCAGGAGAGGACTCTTTAAAGTAGAGACAATACATACTGATATACACCTGAACATCAGCAGGAGAGGACTCTTTAAAGTAGAGACACTACATACTGATATACACCTGAACATCAGCAGGAGAGGACTCTTTAAAGTAGAGACACTACATACTGATATACACCTGAACATCAGCAGGAGAGGACTCTTTAAAGTAGAGACACTACATACTGATATACACCTGAACATCAGCAGGAGAGGACTCTTTAAAGTAGAGACACATACTGATATACACCTGAACATCAGCAGGAGAGGACTCTTTAAAGTAGAGACACTACATACTGCTATACACCTGAACATCAGCAGGAGAGGACTCTTTAAAGTAGAGACACTACGCACTGATATACACCTGAACATCAGCAGGAGAGGACTCTTTAAAGTAGAGACACTACATACTGATATACATCTGAACATCAGCAGGAGAGCACTCTTTAAAGTAGAGACACTACATACTGATATACACCTGAACATCAGCAGGAGAGGACTCTTTAAAGTAGAGACAATACATACTGATATACACCTGAACATCAGCAGGAGAGGACTCTTTAAAGTAGAGACACTACATACTGATATACACCTGAACATCAGCAGGAGAGGACTCTTTAAAGTAGAGACACTACATACTGATATACACCTGAACATCAGCAGGAGAGGACTCTTTAAAGTAGAGACACTACATACTGATATACATCTGAACATCAGCAGGAGAGGACTCTTTAAAGTAGAGACACTACATACTGATATACACCTGAACATCAGCAGGAGAGGACTCTTTAAAGTAGAGACACATACTGATATACACCTGAACATCAACAGGAGAGGACTCTTTAAAGTAGAGACACTACATACTGATATACACCTGAACATCAGCAGGGGAGGACTCTTTAAAGTAGAGACACTACACACTGATATACACCTGAACATCAGCAGGAGAGGACTCTTTAAAGTAGAGACACTACATACTGATATACATCTGAACATCAGCAGGAGAGCACTCTTTAAAGTAGAGACACTACATACTGATATACACCTGAACATCAGCAGGAGAGGACTCTTTAAAGTAGAGACACTACATACTGATATACACCTGAACATCAGCAGGAGAGGACTCTTTAAAGTAGAGACACTACATACTGATATACACCTGAACATCAGCAGGAGAGGACTCTTTAAAGTAGAGACACTACATACTGATATACACCTGAACATCAGCAGGAGAGGACTCTTTAAAGTAGAGACACTAAATACTGATATACACCTGAACATCAGCAGGAGAGGACTCTTTAAAGTAGAGACACTACATACTGATATACACCTGAACATCAGCAGGAGAGGACTCTTTAAAGTAGAGACACTAAATACTGATGTGATCCTGAACATGTTTTTTATATGTCCTCTTTAATATTCAAATAAAATATGTGTAACTCAAATGGTCAGATACAGGACTTTCATTTTGTTGCAGCTTTATTGAAGCTCTATGATGTTTTTGAAGCTTTTACCATTCAATTAAAAATAAATCTTCTGTATGTCTGGTGCATATAGTTGAGCTCTGATGTAGCACTCGGATAAAAATAAACCCTCTTGATTCACTGAGCTTCAAGGCTTTTTATCTCTCCTCTTTCTTATTAGCAAATATAGAAAATATTCAGGTGATGACTCACATCATAGGCTGCAGATTATATCTGCTGTAGCTAATTAACTTAAAATATTCCATCAGTAGGTTGACGAAATGCCAACAATGAAAGGAGTTTGGTGAATCTGCTTTTATATAAGATAGCATACTAAACAGTGTTTCCGCCAGACCAGGGCTGAGAGGGCGTCCACCCCGAGACACGTTGTGTCCACGTGACTTGAATTTTTAATTGAGCCGTCCCTTAAGTTATAGATACTATCTCTTTACGTATCAGTGATGGGAATTCCGGCTCTTTTTAGTGAGCCGGATCATTTGGCTCGGCTCTTCATGTTACCACAGTTCACCACGGAGCCTCAGTTTCGCCGCTGCGAGGCTCCGGCGCACGCAGTTCACGCGAGTGCTCCACTAGCACCCCCCGTCAAGGCTCGCCGGCAGTACACTTTCCGTCACAGGAACGCGCTTTGCTGGTGGCGACAAGAATCCCACCAGACTCCTTTGCCCCTCCAACAGAGGGATGTCCTTGTCCTTTTTCCTTTTCATCATTTCAAGCAATAAAAACTCCATCTTCTCTCGGCTCGAGTTCAGGGCGCTCCGAAATGACGGCAAGACGGAAACGCTGATGCTAAATACTGTGGTGAAACAAAACTCACAACAGGAATGTGTTCCACAGTTTTATCATGTAGGTTTCAGAAAAAAGACTCCAGCATTCGAATCAAGTAGCTTTTGGAAAAACAAGAGAACAGACTGGAGACTCGATGTGAGACTTTCTGTATGAAGACTTGAGACAGTCCTGCAAGTACATTAGCTTTAAACAAGACAAACCATTGTTAGTGCTGCTGCATTGGCCTTAAGTAAGCGTAACATCTCCAGGTACTATGTACAGAAGTGAGATTCGTTTTTTCATTGGCCAAGGTGCCCTGGAAACAACTTTGTTTCAGTCTCTGAAGATGTGTAGATGTTTTGCTCTCCTGATATCAATGGGGAGCTCGTTCCACCATTTTTGATCCAGGATAGCAAGTTCATCTGGGTCCCACTCGCTGCATCCCACTCGTTGCATCTAAATTGAACCGAAATTCCTGCATCGTATCGCTCACATTTCTCCATGACTAATATTACATTACATTACATTTAGCTGACGCTTTTATCCAAAGCGACTTACAATAAGTGCGTTCGACCAACAAAATACAAACTTGAAGAAAACAGAATCATAAAGTACATCAGGTTTCATAGAGCAAAAACATTTCAAGTGCTACTCAACTGGCTTTAGATAAGCCAGCCCTTTATTAGTATAAAAGTGCTTCGTTAATAGTTCTATCGCTCGAAGTGGAGTCGAAAGAGATGATATGGTATCTCTTGAAACCTTTACGTCAATAAAGTGCTGTGCTTTCTACAACGTCTCATATTTCCTGTCTCTCTGTCTCTCTCAGTCCCTCCCAGCCGGTGTACACAGAGTTCCGTCAATCTGCGATGAACATGTAGACTTTTCTAGGAAACTAATTCCACCATTTTGGAGCCAGGACAGCAAAAAAGTGTTGAGGGGTTCCTACTGGCAGTTGCACCTCAATTGCACCAAAACTCCTGCATCATATTCCACACATTTCTCCGATATTGTTGGGAAAATACTGAATGTACTCTTTCAATATCAGAGTACACATGATAACAAAGGTATCCCAACTGTAGCTGTGAACATGACAGGATGTATGATTACCTAGAAGAGCATCAGGACTGTTTTAGGCATATGATTGAGAAAAAGTCAGATGTTTGAAAAAAAGTCAGATGTTTGAGAAAAAGTCCGATTTTTGGGGATTTTGAGAAAAATGTCAGAATTTTGAGGAAAATGTTAAAATGTTGAGAAAATTGTCAGGATTTTGAGAAAAAGTCAGGATTTTGAGATTTTGAGAAAAAGTCATTATTTTGTACATGACAGCATATATGATTACCGTGAAGAACCGGTACTCCTCCATCTTGTGACTGTGTAACTCCCTCTCTTGGATATCAGCATGTGAAGGACACTGTTCAGGAACTAGTTGTACCAAATGCTCTGTATGTGAATGACTTCCATTCAAGGTTCTTTATTTAGTCATATGAACATAGCTACAGTGTAGTTATGCCGATGAAAATCTTAGGTCACATGTTTCTCCAACAGTGCAACACAAAACACAGATAAACAGAAAAATATAGAGCAAGTAAATAGTAAATACAAAAAGAAAAATAGTTTAAAAAAGTGAAATAGTGCAATAAGAGTCTATATGCAAGTTATTGGAATATGGCATAACGGCAAAAAATAAATAAACACTAAAAAAATACAAAAAAGGGCAAAGTTGGAGAGGAGCCAAAGGACAATGCGGCCATCTTCACCGGCGCATAATAAATACATGGATCCTGATATTGAAGCTCAAGCCGGTGACGATTGATATTTTTCTAACAGATATCATCATATGTTATGATAGTTCTGGGGTTTCTACAGTGTCTTGACAAACAAAGTTGTTTCGTCTTATATTTCCTGTCTCTCTCAGTTCCTCCCAACGTTGAGCCGGAGTACACAGAGATCCGGCAGGCTCTGGGCCGTGCGTTCAGCCTCACCTGCCGCCTGCTGAGAGCCCACCCTGCGCGCCTCCTCCGGTACGAGTGGAAGCTGGGGTCCCGCCTCCTCACCGTGGGACAGTTCAGCGAGCAGCGCGACGACACCAGCTACCAGGTCAAAGCTCTGAACCGCGAGGGCTACGGAGAGTACACCTGTGACATCACCAACGAGGCCGGGGCGGGCCGCTGCACCTTCCTGGTCACAGGTGAGTTCTGATGACTGGTGCATGATGGGAAGATGTCTGACACCTGAAGATGTGAACAGGTTGGGTTCTCTTCTTCTGGGGTCTAACATATTTCTTGGAGTTATAGCTAGTTGATTTTGACATGTTTTAAAGTACTTAATACTTGACTTGGAACTGTTTTTAATGACTTGTGACTTAACTCATACAGGTCTCGGACAATATTTGACTTGATATCTTGAATGGCTAGAGACACTTCATTTGGACTTGAATGACTCTGGACTTACAGTAAATTGAACTTGTTTCAGGAAAGACTTGACGTGTCTTGAGTGACTTGAGTGACTTGAGACTTGAAGGGGACGTGGCTCGAATGACTTGAGGCTTCATTTGAATCAGTATATAAAGACTTGAAACTTAACTTGTCTCAGACTAGACTTGGCATGAACTTCTCTCAAGTTACTTGAGACTCGACATGGACTCGTCTCAGGTTACTTGAGAGATTGACATGGACTTTTGTTGAATGACTTGAGAGTTGAAGTGGGCTTTTCTTGAGTCACTTGAGACTTGTCTAGAGTTGCTTGAGACTTAACATGGACTTGTTCCTAGTTACTTGGTACTTGGCATGGACTTACCTTCAATTACCTTGGATTTAACATGGACTTGTCTCGACTATATTGCGTCATGACATGGACTTCTTTCTACTTAGGACTTGAAATTGACTTGTCTGGAAGTTCCTCGAGATGTGGCATGCCCTTGTTTTAAGTTCCTTGAAACTTGACACAGACTTATCCCGGTTTCCTGAGGCTTGACACGGAATTGTCTTGAGTTTCTTGAAAGTTGCCTCGTGTCTCCGGTGAACACACAGTATTGTTGATGCGACTCTGCTAACAGGCCTCAGGTCTGCTGGGAACTTTAAAGCTGCTTTCAAAGTGCTAACATCTCCAGGACGAGAACACGATGATTAATCAGAGTTTATCTTCATCTTTAAATCCTGTGTGTTGGCACACTGAAGCGAGAGAGTTTCCTCTGGGGAGTTTTTAAGTGTCATAAATAATAATGCGAAGCGCTCCAGGAAACCCTCACATCCTCTCAAACATCTGAACTGACAACAAACACTTCAGAAGATTAGAAAACTTCCTGTCTTCAATACCCGCTGCCTCTCTTCTGTTTAAGGCTAACAGATAACAGACTTCTATGTATTCAGACTTTGTGTGTGTACAACTTTCATCTGTTGTGTTCTGCTGAATTTCGTTGACTTGTGACACCTTTCTGCATTATTTCAAGGAACATAACGTGTTTTTGCTTTTAATCTTCTATCTGTATTTAGATTTATTTGATTTCCTTGCTGCAGAAACCTGATCCAACACAGTCAACATTTAGCCATACATATCAGATGTGTACAGTACAAACCTTTCCTTTTCTCCAAGGAAATCAGGAAATAGAAATCACTAATGAGCTGGGTTTTATTTAGATTTAGATTTTCGGGCATCAGGAGAAGCACAGCCTTTAGTCACAAGAGTGCAGAATATGTCAGTATTGAGTGGAAGTAAAACAACATGTAAAGCTACAGGTACATTAAGCTGATTACTTCCAAAAACATTTTACAGTAAAAACATATATACTGGAGACCATGAAATATTTCAATCAAAACCAACTCCTGCAGAGAGTCTCTTGGTCAGGAGTCTGCTCTCCGGTACATGAACTGATCTGAAGAATCCCCAGGTGGTCTCATTTGTTTCCTTTGGCGTCAAGGCTGCAGTTCGGCTCCTACAGTATGGGAAGTGTTGAAGGCAGCGAGTCTGTACGAAGGCTGCAGAAGCATCTAAATCAAAGCCAGTGGAGTCAGGTGTACAAGTTTGTATTCCTTAACCGCTGTAAACCCAGAGGAAAAAGAAAATATGAGCCAGTCATCACCTGCACAGCTCAAAGCTTTGTGTACTGAGTTAATAGTTTCATTGTAAGCAACTAGAAAGAAAAATAGCGTTAACTTTCGGTGTCTGTGAAGTCAATATTTCCATTCCCTAACACTTTTGATTGCGTTCATATGAACTTTGAAGCATTTGTCGGTCAATAGCTGTCGTTAGAACTTATTTGAGGACCAAAGCATGTATCTGATGCTTCTTGGAAAGATATTTTTATGGTTTGATCAAATATTAAGTCAAATATTCCCTGATGGTTTATCTTGGATTGGTCTAATATTTGTTCCTGACGTCTCCTTTTGGTGGCTCTGTAGTTTTGAAACCTTGCATGGATAAAATACATCTAAGTCTGGAAAACTATTACAACTCAGAAAACGAGGACTAAATGATCACATTTCCGGAATAAATTTAGCAGCAGTTGGGGAGAAATAAAATAGTTTTTGGATAATTATCGTCTGGCCTCAAACGGTTTGGTTATCAGAATCATAATGTGGTAAAACGACTCAGAAATATACTCTGTGAATATAAAAAGCAGTTTTTATCTCTAACGTAAATGTGGAGACGCCAATGAATCTCCAGACTGCTGTTTTTAACTAAGCGCCGCTCTGTGAACCCCAGACGTCTCACAGGAAGTCGCCTCCCCTGATGAAAGCTCGCCTGCAGAGACTCGTCCTGTAAACTCCACGCTGGCGTTAAGCCTCTTATCACGCCGACGAGCAGCGCGTTCTGCAGGCAGCAGCAGAAAGCGGTTAAAGAGGGGACGTTGTAAGAGCAGGATGGAGAGCTAATGGAAAATAACGCCGATTATGTCAGGCTTGTCGTTGCTGAGGTGAAGTTTGTGTTGTTAATCAGGTGTGAACACGCCGGTGGCATTTTAAACCTCGCTCATCCTGCAGCAGCCAATGAGACGGCAGCAGGGCTTCAGAATAAAACTGACAGCACAGAACAGAAAATCTGACAACATCTGTAAAACAAAACTCCAGACTTTAGATCGTTAGACTCTCACTTATACCTTCTCTACATCTTTCTCCACTCACATGTTTGGTTCAGTTTGTATGAACTATTTCCTCTGTTTGGTGTGGAGTTATTTTGGCTGATTTGAAAAGCTGTCAATAGGACTTGAGGATCCAAGAAGAATCCTGATATTGCTCTGAAAGACATTCGATTTGGTTTGGTCCAATATCCCCAGTTTGGTGCAAATCCTCTTATAATAATAATTCCTTACATTTATTATAGCGCTTTTCCAGATGCTCAAAGCGCTTTACAAATACACATTACACGTATCATACATGCAATGGTCATGTACTGTGGACAATACCCACAGGAGCAAGTTCAGGTGAAGTGTCTTGCCCAAGGACACAACGGCTTTACAGACGCAGCAGCGGCGGGTTTCCCCCCTTGATCTGATGATCATTGCACAGCGCACTGCGCCACACCATCTTCACACCTCAAAGTCATCGAGGTGCTTTTACAAGTACACATTGATATCATACATGTACTGTGGACATTACCCACAGGATTTGCTCCTGTGGGTAATGTCCACATGTGGGTGAAGTGCCTTGCCCAAGGACACAACGGCCTGACGCAGTGGCGGCAGGAGCGGGTTTCGAACTGGAGTTCCCCAGCACCCCCCTTGATCTGATGATCAGATGCACAGACCACTGCGCCACCCGTCCCACTATGTTCAATCAATCAATCAATCAATGTTTATTTATATAGCCCAATATCACAAATGTTACATTTGTCTCAGTGGACTTTACAGTTTGTACAAAATATCAGTATGACAATACGACACCCTCTGTCCTTAGACCCTCACATCGTACAAGGAAAAACTTCCGGAGAAAACCCACAGTTTAAAGGGAAAAATGGGAGAAACCTCAGGGAGAGCAACAGAGGAGGGATCCCTCTCCCAGGACGGACAGAAGTGCAATAGATGCCGTGTGTAAATTGAAAAGATAATACATTTGCAACATAGGTAGTCCAAATGTTTGGAAATGCATGTGTGTATAATAGGAAGATGAATCCACGAGGATATCCATCCAGGACCTATGATCCAGGACCACAGCCACGACTCAAGATCCAGGACAGAGGAGCGCAGGATCATCCATGACTCCGGATCCCGGCGTATACAGACACCAAAAAGAAAGACATTTGGGGAAGCTGGGTTAATCGGAACATGAGAGTACACAGGTATAGACAGAGAGAAGGAAGAAGTAAGATGTCCCCCGACAAACTAAGCCTATATCAGCAAAACTAGGGGCTGAATCTAATCAGCCCTAACTATAAGCTTTATCAAAAAGGAAGGTCTTAAGCGCACTCTTAAAAACGGATAGGGTGTCTGCCGCCCGAACACAAACTGGAAGCTGATTCCACAAATGTGGAGCTTGATAAGAAAAGGCTCTGGCTCCCATTGTACTTTTAGAGACTCTAGGAACAACCAACAACCCTGCATTCTTGGAACGCAATGCCCTAGTAGGACAGTAGGGTATAATGAGTTCTTTAAGGTAAGATGGCGCCTGCCCATTAAGGGCTTTGTAGGCGAGAAGAAGAATTTTAAATTCTATCCTGTGTTCTATAGGGAGCCAGTGTAAGGCAGCCAGAACAGGAGTAATGTGGTCCCTTTTCCTAACTCTGGTTAGTACACGAGCTGCAGCATTTTGAATCAGCTGAAGCGACTTGACTGACTTCTTGGTACACCCTGATAATAAAGAGTTACAATAATCCAGCCTTGAAGTAACAAATGCATGGACTAGTTTCTCTGCATCGTTTTGAGGCAAGATATGCCTGATTTTTGCAATGTTACGTAGATGGAAGTAGGCGGTCCTTGAAATTGATTTTATGTGGGCGTTAAAGGATACATCCTGATCAAATATAACACCAAGATTCCTTACAGTCTCACTGGAGGCCAAATTAATGCCATCCATGGTTAATATATCCTTAGATAATTTGTTTCGTAGATTCTTCGGGCCAAGTACAATAACTTCAGTTTTGGTCGTGTTTAACATCAAAAAGTTTAAGGTCATCCACGTTTTTAAGTCCTTGAGGCAGTCTTGAATTTTATTTAGATGATTAATTTCATCAGGCTTGATTGATAAATATAGTTGAGTATCATCCGCATAACAATGAAAGTTTACAGAATGATTCCTTATAATATTGCCTAACGGAAGCATATATAATGTGAACAAAATAGGTCCGAGCACTGAGCCCTGTGGCACTCCATGGCTAACTTTGGTTTGCGTGGAAGATTCATCATTGACACGTACAAACTGAGAGCGTTCAGATAGATAGGACCTAAACCAGTCTAAAGCAGTTCCCTGTATGCCAACTAAGTGCTCTAGTCTTTGCAATAGGATATCATGGTCGATAGTATCAAATGCAGCACTGAGATCGAGCAAAACAAGAATAGAGACACGTCCCTTGTCAGAGGCTATTAGAATGTCATTTGTGACTTTAACCAGAGCTGTCTCTGTGCTATGATGTGTTCTAAAGCCAGACTGAAAATCTTCAAATAAATCATTGTTTTTTAAGTAATCACACAGCTGTTTTGCGACTGCTTTCTCAAGAATTTTTGAGAGGAACGGAAGATTGGAAATAGGTCTATAATTGGCTAAAACCTCTGGATCGAGGTTGTGCTTTTTAAGAAGCGGTTTTATCACTGCTACTTTGAATGATTGTGGAACATAGCCTGATAATAAAGACATATTCATAATATTTAATAAATAAGTGCTAATTAATGGAAAAACTTCCTTCAACAGCTTAGTTGGAATTGGGTCTAACATACACGTTGATGGTTTAGAAGAGAGAATCATTGAATGTAATTGTTCAAGGTTTATGGCTGAAAAGCATTCTAGTTTACTATCTAGTGTAATATTAGAACTTACGTTTCCGGGAGCTGTTGATAACACTATACTGGTCAAAGGCAAGAGGTCATTAATTTTGTTTCTAAGAGTAACAATTTTATCATTAAAAAAGCACATAAAATCATTACTACTGAGTGCTATGGGAATAGAAGGCTCAATCGAGCTGTGGCTCTCTGTCAGCCTGGCTACAGTGCTGAAAAGAAATCTTGCATTATTCTTATTCTCATCTATTAATGAAGAGTAGTAGGCTGCTCTCGCTTTACGCAGTGCTTTCTTATATTCATTGAGAGTAATATGCCAAATTAAACGAGATTCTTCAAGTTTAGTGGAACGCCATATCCTTTCAAGTTGTCTCGACTTTTGCTTTATTTTGCGGGTTTGGGCATTATGCCATGGAGCTAGTCTATGTTGTTTTATTTTCTTCTTTTTCAAAGGAGCAACAGAGTCTAATTTTATTCGCAGCGCATCTGTAGCACTATCAACAACATGATCAATTTGGGGTGGTGTACATTTTGTATACGTTTCCTCCCTTACATGCAGACATGCTATCGAGTTAAGTATTGGTGGAATCTCTTCCTTAAATTTGGCTATAGCACTAACAGATAGGTTTCTGCTGCAGGAGCTTTTGACTAATGCTTTGTAGTCTCGTAACAGTACTTCAAAAGTTACTAAGAAATGGTCGGATAAAGCAGGATTATGCGGTTCGACTAATAGTTGCTCAATTTCAATACCATAAGTCAGAACAAGGTCGAGAGTGTGATTATAGCAGTGGGTTGGTTTATTTACACCCTGACAGAAACCAACAGAATCTAATATAGAGTTAAATGCAACAGTAAGGCTATTTTTATCATCGTCAACATGAATATTAAAGTCACCTACGATAATTACTTTATCTGTTTTAAGAACCAAAGTTGATAAAAACTCAGAGAATTCAGATAAGAATTCTGAATAAGGACCTGGTGCACGGTACACTGTAACAAATAAGATTAGCTGCAAAGTTTTCCAGGTCGGATGCGTAAGACTAAAAACAAGACTTTCAAAGGAGGTATAATTTAATTTTGGTTTAGTATTGATAAGTAAACTTGAGTCAAAGATTGCTGCAACTCCACCTCCTCGGCCCGTGCCTCGGGCAATATGAGTATTGATATGGCTGGGTGGAGTGGCCTCATTTATGCTGACATATTCTTCATGTCTCAACCAAGTTTCAGTGAGACAGCATATATCAATATTATAATCTGATATTAAATCATTTACCACTATTTCTTTAGATGCTAGAGATCTTATGTTTAAGAGACCACATTTAATATTCCTGTTTTGTTGCACTGTAGTAGTTGTTACATTTACTTTTATTAGGTTATTATGTATGACACCTCTATTAGGTTTTACCTTAACTTGTCCTTGGGCAGACACACACACCGCTAATATTGGGTATTTTATTGGGTTCGGGATTCCTATGGATGACTGCCGAGGAGAGAGCGCAGAGAAGCGTGTAAGACTGCGACTCCGCCTCCTGGTCTCAACTCCAGTTTGTCATGGATTAAGTCCACAAAGCCCTGAAATGTTTGCCGAAATGAGATTTGCACCTTCCAAAGTAGGATGAATGCCGTCTCTCTTAATCAGACCAGGTTTTCCCCAGAAGGCTGTCCAATTATTTACGAAGCCCACATTGTTTGCTGGGCACCACCAAGACAACCAGCGCTGAAATGATGACATGCGGCTATACATGTCATCATTGATCAGATTGGGGAGGGGACCAGAGAAGATTACGGTGTCCGACATTGTTTTAGCATAACTACACACCTATGTTATGTTATGTTGTGTTTTAGGCCTGCTTTGGTCGCTGGTAAAACATCTCTGGTGTTATAGTTGTTAGTCTAATATTTATTCCAATATTCTGTTTTGGTTTAACTATGGTTTGGTCCAATATTCTTTGTTGTTTTGTTTTGCTTGGGTCCAGTGTTTCTTCTGAATTCTCTTTTCAATTCAATTCATTACATTTATTAAAGCGCTTTTTCATAGCTCAAAGCGCTTTACAGATACACATTTCCCAGACCCATATATAAGTCGCTTCGGTGTATAAGTCGCATTTATCCACTGAAGTCTCCATCCTTTGTGTCGCTGTTGAACACTTCCGCCAACTCCGGTGGAAGTGTTTAACAGCGACACAGAGGTGTGGATGAAGCAGCATGTCCTGCTCCGGGCTGTCCTCAGACTCTCCATCAGAATCAGCTCCGATTAGACCTTTCTGAATCCCGACAGGATACACATTTCAGACATGTAATGGTCATGTACTGTGGACAATACCCACAGGAGCAAGTTCAGGTGAAGTGTTTTGCCCAAGGACACAACGGCCTGACGCATTGGCGGGTTTCAAACTGGTGTTCCCCAACACCCCCTTGATCTGATGATCAACGCACAGCCCACTGCGCCACTCCGCCCCTTTTGTTCTGATTTGGTCCAGTTTTTTTATCTAGGTTGGTCCAATATTTTCCCGTTGTTTAATCTATGTTTTAGTCAGATATTAAGGCCTTATCCCCTGGTGTTTTAGCTCTGATTTGGTCCACTACCTAGTCCAATATTCTATGTTTTTTTTAGCTTGGTTATTTCCAGTGTTTGTTTTGGATTGTTTCTAATATTCTCTGAAGGTTGAGCTCGGATTTGTCTAATATTTGTTCCTGAATATCGATATATTTGGTCCAAAGCTCAGTTTCTTTAGTTTTAATTTGGTATAACATTTAGTCCAATATTCTCTGGTGGTTTAATCAATATATTGATCCAAAATTCCCTGGTGTTTTAGCTCTGGTTTGGTCCAATATATTTTGGATTTTCTTTGGCTTGGTCCAGTATTTGTTTTGTATTCTAGTGTTTTGGCTCTGGTTGCGTCTTTATTGGTGCAATAGTGTCTTTTGTTTGGTTTCCATTTTTAAATCTAATATTCTCTGTTGTTATAGCTCTGGCTTCGTCCAAACTTACTTCCAATATTCTATGTATTTATTTCGGTTTGGTTCAATATTTAGTTGCATTTCCCTGCTATTTTGAGTTGGTGTAATATGTGTGCAATATTCTCTTGTGTTTAAATTGTGGTTTAATTAAATATTTAGTATTTTTAGCTCTGCACTCATCCAATATCTGGTCCTGAATACTCTGGGGTTTAAGTTTGTTTTTCATGAAGCTTTAGCTATCATGACGTCTGAGTAAACTCTGTCCCACAGCCTGTAAGGAAAGCCAGGAAATGGACACTGAGTAAGGATTATTTTGTCAAACTACTGAAATGAAGTTTAAAGGGAAAATGTGTCCCTGTGGATGCAGCTGAGTCAGCCAATCAGGACTCAGCTCTGTGTTATCAGGTCGGCCATGTTGGAGATTTCGTCCAGTCAGGTGTGTATTTCTTCTTTGGTGGTTTAATCCTCCAAACTGCATATCAGCAGGAACACACACAAGTGGACTGACACTGTGTGTGTAAGTGACAGGGAGGCATAAAAACATGCTGTTACACACATTTACTGTACTGTACACACACACACACACACCACACACACACACACACACACACACACACACACACACACACACACACACACACACACACACACACACACTCACACACAGTTTACTGTCATATTAACTTAAGCTTCATAATCCTGCTGCCTCTAATATTAACACACCCTTCTTCTTCCTTGCTTTTTCTACTTCTCCGTTGTGTTCTTTGCCACATTGACTGAATCGATCTCAGACCAACTGAATGTGACAGTGAAACATTCAAACTGTTTGATCATGCTTCTGGTTGCTTTAGCGTAATGCTTTGTGTGCATCTCTGTGATTGGGTGTTTGTTATTGAAATGCACCTTGGGAATCGTAGTTGAATTCACTCTCTGCTTCCTGCCCTGTGTCTCCTCAGGGAAGGCCCACGCTCCGGAGTTTTACTACGACACGTACAGCGCTCTGTGGCAGAACCGGCCTCGGGTCTACGGCTTCAAGCTGCAGTGGACCCAGATGGAGCCCGGCACCGTGGACCGGATCCTGGCCTACAGACTCGGCATCAGACAGGTCGGTCAAACTGTTATCTCAAGGCTCATGTTCAGACTCCAACCAACAGTATCTACCATATTTTCCGGACTATAAGTCAAACCTGTGTATAAGTCGCTCTTATCAAAACATTTGTTGTTAAAGGTAGGGTAGGTAATTCACTTCAGAAACACTTTTTGTTATATTCCATGGAATGCTCTTAAAGGTGGGGTAGGTAAGCTTCAGAAACCGGCTCGAGTGCACTAACATTTGAAAGTACACAGCCGAAAAGAATCCGCCCCTTCCTTCAGACTTCCTTACAGAGCACCTCCTCCAACACACATGAACGCGCACATGACGTCAGCAGACTGGTGAAAGTGGCCGCCTGTTGCTGGCGAGTCATTGAAGTACTGCTGCAATGCACGCCCAATGACGGCATGCCCAATGAGGGCACGAGATACATTTGTGCGTGCACGAGATGGAAGGCTGACAGACAGGGCGGCAATCCAATCCGTTTAGCCGGCCCGGCTAAACGGATTGGTTGTACTTTTTACAGCGCCACGGCTTCCACAGATGGAATTTTGTCATGGATTTTTTGTCAAAGCACTTCAGATATTCATTGCTATCGGGATGTTAAGAGCATTCCATGGAATATAACAAAAAGTGTATCTTGAGCCGGTTTCTCAAACTTACCTACCCCACCTTTAACATCCCAATAGCAATGAATACATTAAATGCTTTGACAATAAATAAATACAAATCTTTCATCTGTGGAAGCTGTGGCGCTGTAAAAAGCACGACCAATCATCTGAGCCGGCTAAAGTAACTGGATGGCCTACCTGCCTGTCAGCCTTCCATCTGTGCACAAACTCATCTCGTGCCCTCATTGGTCATGTGCGCGTTCGTGTGTGTTGGAGGAGGGGCTCTGTGAGGAAGTCTGAAGGAAGGAGCAGATTTTTTTTCGGTTGTGTACTTTCAAATTCTAGCGCACTCGAGCTGGTTTCTCCATTCTTACCTACCCTACCTTTAAGAGAAAAAAAACACATATAAGTCGCTTCTGAGTATAAGTCGCAGGGCCAGCCAGAAAATACGGTATTTGTCTATCTACTAACAAGTGTGTGTGTCAAAGCCTTTTTATCTTCTACCTCTGTGACATAGCGCTCCATTGTTATCAACAAACTATTTAACACACGTTAATAACAAACTCTTGGTGACATATTCCTTCATAACCATGAACACAATGAAGTTCATTCCCACATCATTCAGCTGCCCCAAATACTCATCAGAGCGCCAAATGTGGATTAATACGCTGCTGAAAGTAGTCCACAACAAATCACTTCATCCCTCATTAAATAACAACAACAAAGACCAGCTGTTTTAGGAAGACTTGTTTAAATGTGAAAATATATAGTCAGGCTGTATTGAGGAAAAAAATATATATATATATATACTGTATATAACACAATAATAAATCACTCTTTATAATCAGTCCTTGAAACTTTTCATCAAAAGCAGCAGCTATATTTTTTATATATAAAGTATGTTTGTTATTTAATCTATTCATCAAATATATAAAACAGAGTTTTTACGACTCTTGTAATAACTTTTTATCAACTGTTGACTTCTCGTGTTCTTGTTTACGAACTGTTCTTGAGATTTTGGTGTTTTTAGTCGTAAATGTGACAAATCACTATAATGAAGTCTTCGTTTGGTTTATGTGCCGTTGGTTACAGCCAATAAAAACCGATGAGGCAGTAAACAAGTCCACAGGTTTTATGAGCCAGTAAAAATATTCAGATTTAACCAATCAGACTGTGTCTTTGTGTGCGCATGATTGTGTCTTTATGCAGTAAAATTGAGTCTGTGTTTAATGGTGAGAATGTGTAGTACCCATGGTCGTAGGAAGCATTATTTCATACCTGTTTTTCTCTTGTTTTTTATAACTATAATGATCATATAAAAGTGTGCCTTGGAAATACTTATTTACATAAATGATTAACAAACTGTTTGAGACCCGCTACTTAGACTAAAGTTGACTATCTAAACCTTCAGAGAGTCCTTTACCTCACTGAGCTGTAGTTATCAGCCTCTCAGTCTGACAGGAGAGGACTGTCCTCCACCTCTCAGAGAGTCCTTCACCTCACTGAGCTGTAGCTATCAGCCTCTCAGTCTGACTGGAGAGGGCTCTCCCTCCACCTCTCAGAGAGTCCTTCACCTCACTGAGCTGTAGTTATCAGCCTCTCAGTCTGACAGGAGAGGGCTCTCCCTCCACCTCTCAGAGAGTCCTTCACCTCACTGAGCTGTAGTTATCAGCCTCTCAGTCTGACAGGAGAGGACTCTCCTCCACCTCTCAGAGAGTCCTTCACCTCACTGAGCTAGTTATCAGCCTCTCAGTCTGACAGGAGAGGGCTCTCCCTCCACCTCTCAGAGAGTCCTTCACCTCACTGAGCTGTAGTTATCAGCCTCTCAGTCTGACAGGAGAGGACTCTCCTCCACCTCTCAGAGAGTCCTTCACCTCACTGAGCTGTAGTTATCAGCCTCTCAGTCTGACAGGAGAGGACTCTCCTCCACTTCTCAGAGAGTCCTTCACCTCACTGAGCTGTAGTTATCAGCCTCTCAGTCTGACAGGAGAGGACTCTCCCTCCACCTCTTTAATAACAGCACCTTATATCCGGGTGTTAGTGGAGCACGCTCGTGAACTGTTAGCGCCGGCAAAGAGTGGCGAGTGGATAGACCGATTCACGGACTTTCCGCATGGTAAAAGTGGGGGGGTCTAAACTAATCATTTTCAAAGGTGGGGGGGACTTGTCCCACCCTCACATAATGGCTGCGACGCCCATGGTAGTACCTTACCACATTCTCAAAGAAATAGGGATAATTTACCTTTACTACAAACTGCAGGAACTTTGAATGCTAACACTTCCATTGGGAGTCACTAGAATTGAGCTAACAGCAGAAATCTGTCATAGTGGAAGAAGAGAAAGGCACTGATAACTAAGTATTTACACACCGCAGTGTAAGTTTTATAAAGATCACAGGTGATTAACGGAGAACGAGATCAGGTGAATCAACACAGAGGAAAACTCCAGAACTTTGGATAGAACTCTACAGAAACTGTATAAATGTTGATAAATATATCATAGTAAACGATATACATACATATGATACATACTTCTTCTATTAACTTGATTTTATTTAACTAAATATTTGAAGACACGATAGAATCATAAACATACAAAAGCATACTCATTGACTTTTTATAAACTAAACTAGATTGAGTTTGAACATAAACCATTATACAGATTTTATCAAATCAGATTGGACTGAGGACCCCGCACACACACTCGGATAACACACATACTGTTCATATGCATAAAAAATGCACCTGGAAGATTGTTTACATCCCCTGCCTGGATATATATATTTTCTATACCTTCACATTATCATTATTTAGATTGTCTATGTTGTCATTTTATTCTCTTTTTTAATCTATACACACATCATCTATTGCACTTCTGTCCTGGGAGACAGACTGTTGCTCTCCCCGACGTTTTTACCATTTTTCCCGTTAATTGTGGGATTTCTTTGGGACCTTTACCTTGCACCTGCGAGGGTCTCAGGACAGAAGGTGTTGTACGCTGTAAGGTCTCCTGAGACTAAAGTGTGATTTGTGATATTGGGCTGTTATATTATTAAAACGTGATTAATTGAATTGATTGTTACACACAGTGATGCTCCTCCTGCAGCACCAGCCTGGCTTTAGAGAAAAAGGAGGAAGAGGAGAAGGTGGAGGAGGGCTTGTTGCCATGGCAACTGTCCTGTCTTTTCATTCACACCGAGCAGTGTGCTGCAGCGAGAGAGAGAGAGAGAGAGAGCAGGGAGGAAGTGCTGATAGGACAGAAAATGATAAGAAGACGAGGATGCAGAGAGACTGGAGGAAGAAACTTAGTGAGACTACGAGTTTACAGGAGAGAGAGGGGAGGGAGAGAGGGAGGGAGAGAGGGGGGAGGAGGAAGTGTTCACCACACATATCTCCGGCTAAATCACACCATCTCCTCGCACGCAGATTGTTCTTGTATGTGTCAAAACTGTATTATAAATTGACAGTTAGCAGCACCTCAACCTCGTCGTCCTTCCACACATTTCAGGTTTTGAACAAATATATTAAATATTTTCCTATGATTTGCGAAAACTGCCAAAGAATAATGGGCTTCACCTTGTTGACGTGGCCTTCATCGCCACCTACTGGCCTGGCAAGCGCTTGAAGTCATTTTTGCGTTTTAGCTCGGCCGAAGATATTTTGGAACGTGGAGGTCGTGTGGACAGAATACACTTCTTTAACGGAGGAGATAAATATCTGTTTGTACACTTGCCTGGATAACGCTCTCTTTTGTTATGGTCAACAAAACTTGGTTTGAGTAAAAGGAGGACAGAACCAGTTTCCAACGAGATTATCTAAAAAACAAAAGAAACCCCCCTTAAGTCTTCTAATCTTTCTCTATGGACAGTCTGAATCTTATGTCATGTCAAAGAGTGCAGAAAGTTCAGAATGATGTAAGAATTCAGGTTATAATGAGGAAAAGATTAAGGTCAGTGTATAGCAGAGAAATGTGATTTGTGCGCCTCATTCGGGACAAAATCAACTTTCTGTGTGTGTGTGTGTTTCAGATGACTCAGTCCCGCTGGTGGGAGCAGGAGATTCCCATAGAGGGAAACGTCCAGAAGGGAGAGCTGCTGACCTACAACCTGACTGAACTCATCAAACCTGAGTCCTACCTGGTGCGCCTCACCCCCATCACCCGCTACGGAGAGGGCGACGCCACTGAGCGCATCATCACCTACAGCGGTAACGTTTCCTCTCTTCAACACCTATATCGCTTCGAATTTGCCACTTTTTTTCAGTTTGTATCCGCTCCAGAAACGACATTCTCAATATAATAATTGATAATCTACTAGCTAAGATGTTAGCCAACCGGGAACATGCTAACACAAATCTTTCACATGTTTAATAGTCCACAGTTATATTCTTTCCCGAAATACATTTTGCAAAGTTTTTTGTTGTTGTTGTTTCAAACCTGTAGCGTTATATTGATGTTTGGCGCCCCCTGTGGTCGTGTCACCCACCTGCAACAATACATCACATTTCTCACGATGCCTTTCCTTCAATAATACATTTAATCGCTCTGTATGAATGGGGTGTGAATCATGACTTGTAAATGTAAAGTGCTTTGAGGGGTCTTAAAGACTGGCAAAATATCTATATTGATACAGTCCATTTACCTTCTACCATTACTCCGTTGTGCTACTAACTATAAAGGGTAGCCTAAGCTTTTGCCAATGTAACTCCACACTTCCCGCAAAGCTGTTTCGCAACAAAAGGACAGCACTGAATAATTTCCTTTGTTCTGCTTTTATGATATTTATGCAAAACATTTCAGCATGCTAATGGAGTTAACATCGATTAAAGAAAAAACGCAACTTAAAAGTTAATATAAATAATCTGAGAATAAAAACAGCAGTTTGTTAAGCAGGGACAATGGTTTTTACATTACATTACATTACATTGCATTTAGCTGACGCTTTTATCCAAAGCGACTTACAATAAGTGCGTTCGACCAACAAAATACAACCTTGAAGAAAACAGAATCATATAAGTACATCAGGTTTCATAGAGCCACACATTTCAAGTGCTACTCAACTGGCTTTAGGTAAGCCAGTCCTTTATTAGTATATAAGTGCTTCGTTAATAGTTCTAACGCTCGAAGTGGAATCGAAAGAGATGAGTTTTCAGTCTGCGCCGGAAGGTGTGCAAGCTATCTGCTGTCCTGATGTCAATGGGGAACTCAGTGGTGAGTTTGCTGTCTATATTATACTGACTATTAGATCAAGAAATTCAACATCAACAGCAGTTCAGAAAACAGGAAATATAATTAAATGTAAAAAAAGTTAAAAAATTGACTGTCTCTTGAGAGGTTAGTTTTATAGGATGTTTATTAATATGTATACCTGTGCTCAGCCCAGAATGATTGAGACCTAAATATGAGATTTAAGAGATGTTTGTTTATTTTATGCGGTGTTGTGTTGCTGACACACTGCTGCTCTATGAAAAAGAAACACTAGAAAAACAAGATGATAAAATAAATGTCACACAGAAATCCTGACGGGAATAAAAACGCAACAGCATAGAATTTTCAAAGTGAAGTAAAACAAAAGAGAAGTGACTGATGACACACTCACAGCGGGACGCGACGACACACAACGAAAAGAAAAGAGACGATTCGTTTCGCTGCTCTGAAGTGGAGTTTTGACAGACTGTCAGTGAACGCCTCGCCCCCCTCACCTCCTCCTGATCGTCACATTAACTCCTCATAGGAGGATATTCAAACAGGAAGTTCAGACGCCTCGTCACCTGACGCTGTGAAGGTAAACTCCTCCACCTGTCAGTGCTCAGCTCGGTCACATGACCCTCTGCAGGTCACCACCCGACATCTACAGGTGTTTGTTCTGAGCTGCAGTAAAGTCAATTAAATATCACATTTATCAACGTACTGTAGTTGCCCTGCTGCCTTCACGTGTCTGCAAGGATTTAGAAGATCAAGAAGAACAGGAAGAACAAGAAGACCAAGAACTTTATTAATCCCACAACAGAAATATTCCGGTTTCATTCTCCATCCTTAACACATTAGGTCTGATATACATTCATAAATACATGCATTTTATGGAGAGGTGCAATATTTTGGAGTCAAGGAGCAGTTGGGTCTTCAGAGGGGCCCACGAAGTGAACTGGTTGTTCTCCAGTTACCAGGGACTCGAACCAGTGACCATCTGGTTCCAAAACAGACTGTGCTACTGCCAATATAAAGACGTTTTTATTTAAATGTAGAGCAGCTGTGGACAACATAAAAGGTTATAAGACCTCATAATCATTTATACGATGTTCCTCAAAGGTTTTTCTGCTTTAAAGGACAGTTAGGATTTTCATATCCATGTAGTATGCCTCCAGGGAAACTAAGCGATGTACTGCTGTGGACGAAGGCTGCAGCAAAATGAAACTAAAAAGTGAATTTGTGTGAAGGATTTTATTTGTATCATTTGAGCGACAGGAGACAACTTTCTTTCTTAATGTTCATGTCATGATACAATCACCAAATGATCAGTGGTGCGACACAGACCTTCATTCTCAGAAATAAAGACGCAATTTCCATCGAAATCCCTGCAGCGCTTTTTGTGTCCCTGAAAGGATTTGAGGGACGAACATTTTTACTCCAGATTTCATACCCTACTTTGTTTCCTCACCTGTTCATTTGTTCACATTACATTACATGTCATTTGTTAGACGCTTTTATCCAAAGCGACTTACATACATTCAGTACTGTGGGCAATCCCCACAGGAGCAATTTGGGGTGAAGTGTCTCAGGGACACAACGACATGCTGACGCAGTGGGACTCGAACTTGCTACCCTGTGA